CAAGTCTTCCTCTTGGGGTTATTTACGACTATTTCAATCTACATGCCCAATAATGGGGACTTCTTAAATAGAGTTATGAGTTCATAAAACTAGTGTTGCTACAGGATTCTTTAGTGCATCTTGACAAGGAAACTGCAATTCCTTGTATATTTCTAATGGTTCCTAATGTAATGACAAAATCTCTTCGTGTCCAAATGATACTAAAAAGACCGTTAAATTGCAATTGTTTGATGCTTTAATTTAATTGCAAGAAGTGGTATTTATTTTCTTTGACGTGTTTTTCTCATTTGCACAATCCTCTGGTTTTCAATTTGATTTGGTGAAGACAAGAACTGGATCGACGTGATCTCAATCTTTGTTTTGACAATGCTTTGATGAATTTGGTGAAGACAAAGGGTAGATTGGTGTATCTCTTGATCTTTAATTTGGTGGAGCTTTGGTGGATTTGATGAAGCTTTGATGGATTTGGCGAAAACAAGTACGAATCAGATTATCTCTTGATCTTCAATTTGGCGAAAACAAGGACGTGTCTCTTGATTTTTGATTTTGGTAGATTTAATGAAGACAAGGGCTAGATGTGTCTAATCTTAATTTTTGAATTGATGCTGATGTGGGTGAATTTTGTAAAGACAAAAGTAGAATGAGTGTGTCTCTTGGTCTTCAATTTATTTATGTTTTAGTGGATCTTTTCACCATACTTTTGTGATGATTGGTTTGAAGATGATTTGAATCTCTCAAAAAAAGGACATGTATGTGAGTGAACGGGTAAATTGATTCACTCTCCTTTTTTTTCTCTAAGACTTTTTGGTTTTCGACTTTACAACTGGCATTTTGGTTTCTTAGCCTCCCCTTTCCCTTTCCTTTCCCCCCGACTCTTATTTATAGAGTTTGGGTTGTCAAAGGGGTATTTTAGTAATACTCATATGTGGGCTTCATGAGTTGGACTTGTATGTAATTATGAACTTTAATGAATTTGGACTTAAGCCTTAATGAATTTGGACTTAAGGTCCAATCCAATTTAGTTTTATAAGCTTGGCCTTATGGTTGGTTGGGCTTTTGTGATGTGTTTGAGCCTTATTTGTTTAGGCTTTATTTGATGTAGAATTGGGGCTTAGAGAGGCCAGTCCTTTTTTGTAGACTTATTAGGGAATAAGTACATTTTGATTTTCATTGTCCAAAATTCCCTCAATAGTTATATTTAGTTAAAACTTGTTTGAAAAAAATAACAACTCATAAATTAGAAATTGTATTAGTATTAACAACTCATATCTTGAAAATTGTGCTAGCATTAAAATTATACATATATATATATATATATATATACTAGTTATTTCCCGTGTCGAATAATAAAAAAAAAGTTAACAATAAATATATTTGTATTCACACCCAAAATCAAATTACAAAGTTAGAGGAGATAGAAAATAATTTAAGCACCGATTGTAGTAGGGGCGAGCGGTGGTTGTGGTGGTGGGCGACAGTGATGACGGTGGGAGACAATGATAGTTGTGATGACAACTAGTTATGATGGTGGCAGTCGTGAGTGACAATGGGGATGGTAGTTGTGGAGCGGTGGGGGTAGTGGTCACGGTGAGACAGTGATGGTAAGATAATGACGATAGTGATAAGGTGGCATCAGCGATAGTGGTGGTGGTAGCAGTTGGGATGGTGGTGGGGTGACAATGGTGGTAAGGTGGCGACAATGGTGGTGATGGTGATGGCGGTGGTGGGTGTAGTGGTCGTGGGGGGTGGCGACAGTGGTTGTGGTTGTTGTGGTAGACGTGGTGGCGACAACAGTGGCAGCGGAGGTTGTGGTGTGGCGATGGTGATGGTGGTTTATAGAAGAGGTGATGGTTGGGTTGTAGCGGTGATGNGTTTTGTGCGTGCATGTGTTTTTCTGAGTGCGTGGGTGGGTTTTTTGGTGTGTGCTAGTGTTTTTTTATGTGTGTGTGTGAGAGAGAGAGTTTTTTGTGTGTGCATGTGTTTTTGTGAATCTGTTGGTAGGTTTTTTTGGTGGGGGTTGGTGGGTCGGTTTTGCAGACGGGGGTAAGAGTGAGGGGTTATGCAGAAAGAGGAGATCTAAGGGATTCCAGGAAGGGAAGAGCTTTGTGGGGGGGGGGGGGGGGGGTAGTGTGGTAGTTTTAAACATTAATTTTTTTTTAAAAGTACTTATGAAAAATTATAAATTTTAGAAACACTTTTAAAAAATCACTTCAAACACATCCTTAGGGACCTATTTTTTTAATTAATTTTAGATTGTTAATATTAGCAATTAGATTAACTTTAAAGTAAACTTTAAATAGATCTTAACTGCGAATAGGAAAAGTCATTTTGTTTATCTTTTCAGATTTGAATATATATATATATATATATCATTTCAAAATTCAAATGATACACAAAAATCAAAAAGAATATTAACCCCTTGTTTGGTTGGAGGGAAAATAGAAAAGATGAAAAATAGAGGAAGGAAAGTGGGAGGGAAGGAAAATGTTTCCACTGTTTGGTTTGGTATGAAGGGAAAATGGGAGGGAATGAAAAATGGAAGACAAATGCTTTTCCTTGAGCCCATCAAACATTTTTCTCTCAAAAATGGGCGAAAAATGGACTGAAAATGGAGGAAAAATGGGCTTTTTGTGAATTGACTATTTTACCCACCACTGCTTCAGTGTTCACCAACGAGCAAAGTCACTGTCGCCTTCACCATTGATTCAAGAGCAAGAGAACTAGATCCTCTCTTTGTCAAGAGAGAAAGATAGAGAAGGAAAAGGAAAAAAAAGAAATGGAGAAGAAGATCTAATACCCAAATGGGCATTTTTCAAACCCCGTTTGGAACTAATCGGACTAGTTTCCATGAAAAGCAAATTCACTCCCTTTTGGAACTACAGACAGCGCCATAGCATCATTAGAGAAGCCCCTTCTTTCTTCTTCTTCATCATCGCAGAAACTCTAGCATCGCAGATGAGTCAAAGACTGAAATCCCTCCCAGCAAGCCTTCAACAACCAACATGGACTCCAAGACCCCCATTGTCTATTTGTCTCTGTCTCTGTCTCTCTCCCTTTCTCCCTCCCACCCAGACCCCCATCATCGCAAGAACCCCTATCGTCGATGTCTGAAGTCTGAGTCTTTTTTTTTTATGCACAGAACATGTATGGCTTTGGCCTTTATTGATGAAGGAGACCTAAAAAATTTATTTGTCTCCCCTTTTTTTTCCTTTTCTCTTTTGGTTTCCAATAGTCTCATAATTCAAACCGTTTAGATCTAATTTTTTTAATTATATAATTTTTAGTATTTAACACATAATATAATTAGAACTTAATTTATTAAGTTTATTTTTGTATATGTAATGGAAGATTTAATAATTAAATGTACATAATGAAAAATATATATATAATTTCTAGTTAAATACACATTAAATAATTAAATGAAGAATTTCTTTATAAATAAATTTTATTTTTGATTTTATTTCAATAAATGATACAACATAACATAAATTTTGGTTGTAAAATTTAAAATATTTAATATTTCATCTTTGATTGGAGTATTTTTGGTTTAAGTATAATATTTTAAACTTAAAGGGTTTAAATATTATATACTTATACACTTTAAGAGATTTAAGTATAATTTATTAACTGATATTTATAGCATAGATCTAAGTGTCACGCTTGTTCAAACCTCAGAAGTCTGTGTAAAATATTTCAAATGTCAAATTGTCTAAGTGTAAATTTTGAAGCTTATCAATAAAATTTACTTTAAAAAAAAATCATGCATTTTGGTTTATTTTCTTTAATCTTATTCATGTAATTATATGCGAGGGTACAATGATAAATTTGATATATGTATTTTTCCTATCCATCTAATTTTTCATCCAATACCAAACAAAAGAAAATACATCCCTTCAATTTTTCATCCATCATATCAAACATAATGAGGAAAAATATATTCCTTCCAACTTTTTATCTTTCAATTTTTCATCATTCCTACCAAACGGACCATAAAAGTTTCACATTCTAATATTTAGGGTATTGAAAATATAAAAGCTGTCAATTAGGTATGCACTATTTATAGTAAAAGTAATTATGAAATACATTTCAAAAAAAATTTGAAAATATTTTAAAATGTGTACTTATTGTCAACTATTTGATCAAAAAAAAGACTTAAAAGAGGATAAGTTTAGAAGTGATACTTAAAGTCAAATAAATTTTGAAAAAGGTTCTCACGACCCATTATCTCTAGAATTTATTTATTTGGGCTTTTTTTGTTTGGGGCTAAGGCATTTTTAGACCCAATTCAACTTACTTCCATATTTATGGATCGAGCATTAGTTTTTATTTGGGCTTATGGATTTAGGTCCAGCCCAATTTGATTTGATTTTAATTTGTGTTTCAATTATAGACATTATTAATTTTTTAATGTCTATACCTATTTCCAGGGCACAATCACTCGGCCATGCTAGAGCTCTTTGGCTGAATGGTGTTGATAAAGCGTGCACAGTGACTCAATCTGGTTCACAATTTCAAACACTGAAAAGTCTTCTTCCAGCCACCATGTCGAGTTTTGATGTAAGGTTAGGTCAGAAGTTTCACAGAGTATTTGATATTGTTCATTTGATTGTCCACTCTATCGTGAGGCATAATTATTTGTTTTTTTTTTTTTTTGCCGTGCAAGCTATGCTGAAGCATAATTTGGAAGAAACTAGCATTCAACATTTTCTTATTAACAAGCCTCGTAGTTCCTTTAATGCTGAATAGTTTCACTACATTTAGTATTGTGAAATAGCCCTGGTTTTGTGATCCTGCCTTTTATCATCATATTGTTCTGCTGGATATTTGTCAACAATAATTCTGGTTATAGGATAATGTGTAATGATTGTGTGTGTGTGTGTTTATATATATGCACCATAGTGAATATCTGGTTGCTGCTGTGTACTGAAGCAAAATCAAAATCAAATATAGAGTAAAACATCGAACATACACCATTAGTGAGTGAGTGAGAAGAGAGAGAGAGAGAGAGAGAGAGGGAGAGAGACCAGACGTAGATACTATCGTTAGTCTACTGTCACTCGTTACTTATGAGTTACAACCTGAAAGTACAATTATGTTGTATATCAGTATGGTCTAAGCATCAGCCTTTATGAAATTAGATTTCTTCACATTCCTGGCGCTGTATGTTCACATTACGACATCTAGCATATGGCTAAGAGCACATTAAATTCTGTCAGGAACGGAGGGATGACTGCGTAAGAAAGGCATCTCTTACTCCATTCCTTCCTAAAGTTAGGAATGGCGGGATGAAACTCCTCCCTTGTTAGACTGAGTGCTCCTTAGATTGATTGGGGTATTCGATCACTACCTCTCTAGAGCTCCCCCACGCTTTATGGGCTATGGGGGGAGCAGGAAGGACTAGGATGACTGAAGAATGATTTGTCATTGGGGCCTGGATGGTCATCGGGGCACCATTTGGGAAATTGTCATCTCATTGATGGAAAAGACCTCTTTCTCCGATGTATTCTCCACATTTTTATCCGTGTATGATGAAAAAGCGGGCCTTCTAGGAGTAGCTATTGATCCAGTTTCATTTTTCAGCATTGAAGAAATTTCCAACATTGATGGTCTATCCAGCCCGTTTTCTTGAACGCACAACAAAGCAACTAGCATGCATCTCATGAGTTTGCAAGACGAAGATGCATCATCCAGTGTTGGATCCATAAACTCCTTTCCTTTACCATCCTTCCACAGCTCATATGCCTGCAATAGTTCATCATGTTATGTGTGTGGGAACTCAAATAGGAACAATAATGACTCAAAAACCTATCAAACTAACTTACATATTCAAGAAGATTTAAGTTGTCATAAACACCGTAAAGGCAGTTATTCCTTTTGCCACTTATGATTTGCAGAAGTAGGACTCCAAAACTGTATATGTCATATTTCGTGGAGTATACACCTCGTTTTACATATTCAGGAGGGACATAACCGCTGCATGATATAAATAAAAAATGCTAAGCAATTGATAACTAATAAAAAGTGCATGCGATATAGCTTTGAGAGGAAGTTTACTTACTATGTTCCAACAATCCTGTCTGTGTTTGCTTCATATTCATCTTTTTGGAAAATTCTTGCTAGGCCAAAATCCGATATCTTTGGCTTCATCTCATTGTCTAGTAAAATGTTGCTAGCCTTCAAATCCCTGTGAATTATTATTAATCTCGAGTATTCTTGGAGATAGAGAAGACCTTGAGTAATCCCTTCAATGATTTGAACCCTTGTTTCCCAATCTAACAGCATTCTGCTCATTGGATCTGCATTTAGATCAAATGAAGTTTCTCTAATGGTGACACCCAGATGATAACATTTATGGTATGAAGGACACTGTAATCATTCTCCAGAACAAATTATAATGAGGAGGAACGAAGCCACAGTTAATATATTGGTGCAATAATAAAAATAAACGACACCTAGTTTAGTCCCCATTAATGATGGCATGTGAGATTAGTCCCGTACACATCATAAACAGTGGCCACTCTACATCCTTTTGCCACAATATTTGGCTTTCAGTACACTAATCTCTTTCGCTATGCAGTATTCTGAGAGTAACTATTCTTGTGCAAACGTAAAAGTTAAAAGGCCTTAATCATGGAAAGCAACTACAGTTACAGAGTTTATGAGCCCTGGTATTGAGGGTCAGTTGCCCAAGAAAATATTGTTTCCTGGGGGTGACACTTCCTTTAAGAAAAGAGGGACAGAATTAAAGATCACATCAAATATTCCCATTTAATGTTTTTTGGCACTAATCTCCTTAGTTTCACTCTTTAGTGACATTGACTAGATCAACAAAGCGTTGCTATGATTGCACCAAAATACTGGGGCTCATAACCGCTGCAAATATAGTAGGTTTCCATGATCATGCCTTTGAGTTTTTAACTTTTTCTGTGGGTAACAATAATAACTTTCAGAACACTGCATAGCACAAAGGATTAGCGTAGTGAAAGCCAAATATTGTGGACTGATACTACATCGTAACTCATAAGGCAGTGATCTTAGGCAGGACTACAAAGTCGAAACCTGAATTAAGTTCACTCATGCTTGTCAAGTTAAAGAAGCATGAAGGATTGCATACCATAGAGGTAGAAATCCAAGCTTTTGTTTGGCATGTACTCATAGATCAGCATCTTTTCTTCCCTTCCAGTGCAACAACCCAAAACTCTTACCAGATTTATATGTTGCAGCTTTGCGGTAAGTGTAACCTCATTTGTGAACTCCTCAAGTCCTTGATGAGAACTCTTTGAAAGTCTCTTCACCGCAATTTCCAGTCCATTGGGTAATTTACCCTAGTCAAACCATGGAGATGATTAGTATGTTTTGAGAAACATAAGCAATGCATATTAAATTGAATAATGTCTTTCATAGTTGCAACAATAATGCGACTAAGCAAAGCTCATTATTTTTTTGGCAGTAGTAAAGCTAATACCTATAAGTCTTTTAAGAAACTAAAAATATTTGGATTTTAATTATATTCTCTTCCATGTTTAGAGTATGGTTTGAGGAAGGAGGGAAATTCTGAGACAGTACAAAAGGATTAGATAGCTTATTATTATATTGAATATATCGCCTTTGATAGAGTATAGTGAAGAAACAAGATTCATGTAACTAACCCCAAATAGTTGGGGTAAAGCCTTTGCTGAAATGAGTTGGGTTGAGTATGTTTTCACAAGACTAAATATTGTCGTGAAAAAGTACCTAAAGAAAGTTGTTCAAAGAATTATTCAACGTCAACATAGGAGTCTTTAGAATGACTCTGGGGATTACTATGAGTGGGTTGGGAGAATATATGATATTATAAAAAATCTTGTCCAATTTTCGTGGAAGTGACAATAGAAGATTGAGTTCAATCTTATTTCAAATGCTTTCAGCTGCAAAGATGGCATCTATCATAGTATATCTCTAACGGACAATTATAAACAAGGTTAGCAGTTGGACTAATGGCCACTGCCCCTACCCTGTGGTTGGACCTTAAGGTCACAGGTTCGAGCCTCGTCGGCCCCACCCTGTGATAGTGGGTAACCAAAGAAACAAACAGGCAACTATAAACACTGATTGTTTTCCAAAATATTACCTTGTAAACAGGCCCAAAACCACCCTCGCCAAGCTTATTTTCACTTGAAAAGTTATTTGTAGCTGCTTTGATGTCTGAAAATTTGAAAACTTGCACAGTAGGAGAGTTGCTATTTGAACTTTCTGCAGTTGACATATTGTTTTCTAATGTATCTGGTGATTTCTTCTTTGATAGAATCATCACTGCGAACAAAAAAAGGAAAAAAAAATATTTGTGTTGTTCCATTGTTGCTGTTTTTAATTTCTCATTTCGTGGTGCTATAGTGATGAAATCCACAGTTTGAAAGGTTACCTTTTGATTTGAGTCTCCTCCTCCACAAGTAACACATCAGTAAGCAAAATAGGAGAATAGCTGAAGCAATGATCAGCAGAATAATTACCAGGAATTGCTGCTTTTTGTGGTGATTATTCAAGTTGTCTTGAGCTGTAACACCTCACGTTGTATTAATCGGATGGTAACGTGTCACAACAAATCTTAATAACCAAATATCCTTTTTGTTCCTCTTTTAATGTAATTTTAAGTAAGAATTTTGAAGATTGTATCATATCGCTCTAGTTGGTTCATGAACATGTACAGTCTATATGTGGCAATATCTTGTTGCATTGATTTCTTAATTGAAATTAACATTTTGTCTCTTCTAAAGCAAGTCCAATTAGAGGGCAGTTATGAAAATGAGTTGGACTTAATGCTCATGAACAGAAGCATCCCTCCCCAGTAGGCATCTTATGCGAAATACTGTGTAGGAGAAGTTTTCATCTGGATTTTCCTTAAAAACCTTAGTTTCCATTGTCTCTTCTTAAGCAAAAGTGCAATGATGTGCATATCATGGACAATAGTATCTGTACCATAGAATTTTTTTAGATGCCGGTTGAATTTAGCAGCCATGGATATCAAAAGACTACCTAGACAGAAATATTTGGATAATACATAGGCCTGTCTCAATACCTGAGCAGCTACTTCCTTATCAGATACAGATAGTATTAAGTGAACACACCTGCCTGAGAGAGCATCCAGTTGTCATCATTGGGGACTTGAAAGACATTGTAGCCAAGTAGCTTATTCTCCTTTACATAAGAAATTTTTGTTTTGATGGCCTCAACATCATCAAAACAAATCCAGAAGGAGCCAATGACACAGTAATTTACCACATAAGTAGCATTGTACACAGGAACAGCTCCATAACTTCTGATGTACCACTTGATGTACTTATAGCTCATGGATCCATCTGCTGTAATGGCCAGACCTAATGCCGGCGCACCCATAGTGTTGTTTTTGGGGTCTGCAAGTGTCCATGCGTAGCCATGGTATGGCAATCCCAAAACTAACTGGCTAGCTGGTAGTCCTTTACTGATCCATTCCTTTACACCAAAATCAGTACTTATGTTGCTTGATGGGTCATACAGAGCAGAATGGGCACCTGTGAATTTATCCCTTGAAGGTAAATAATAGTCGAATGATTTGACATGTACCCAATCTAAGTTCCTCTTTATTGAGTCAATTGGGTAAGTAATGGAGTCCAGAGTTGGTGTGTAATGAACAGCCATGGTCAAGCTCAGTTCTGACTCTCCTGATTTTCTTTTCAGAGAATTCACAGCAGATCGCCACTCGTCAAGGAGGATGGCCATATTGGTCATGTCTGAACCAGACTCTGGCGAAATCCACCAAAGGTCAAGGCCATGAAACCCGTAAAGCTGAGCTGTTTTTATCGAAGAGTCAATGAAAGATTTTCTGTAAGATGGTTGGCTTGCCATCGAAGACATGACTGAAGAGTTTGTTCTTGAACCCCATACAGATAGAAGAGTTTTAATCGACGGGTTTCTTTTCTTGACGATGGTGGTGAAGGTGGAAAAGTATGGTTGATTGGAAGGGGAGATGGAGAGCTCATGTGTAGAAGAGTTTATATCCGCAAAAGAACACATAAGGTGAGTGAAGAGAGCAGAATTTATGTCAGGGACAGGGAATTCACTGCCGGAATACCAGTAGCCGGATTTGATCCAGGTTTGTGCACTTGAGAAGTAGAGATTAAGAGAGAGAAACATGAAAATAATACTTCCAGATGCCATTTCATAGAGCTTGTTCATGCAAAGTGGCTTAAGGTTAGATTATTGATGATTCTCTTTTCTAGTTTGTGTTGATACTCTCAACATGTGGCTTGAAGCGTTTGATATTTTTAGGACCCCATACCTTTTTCACCAGATATCATCAAAATACTGCAGTTAGTTAAAACTCCAGTAAAGAAACAGTATACGTTGTGTCTCGATTTACCATGTATTGCACCAATAGAGTCTATTTGTTTCGCAGGATAATTATAAAAAATGCTATAGAATGGCTAAAGGGACATTGGAGTTTTGTGGGGTCCATTTATTTATTTGTTTTAATATTTTTTGTTAGTCATACCACGTCACTTTATCACGTAATATTACCGTTATAATGAATATTTTCTCCCATGATAGATGGGTAAAGGGACATTGGAGCTATAATTTCAAGGTAAATAGAGAATACAACAGTTTATGCAAATATATAAAAAAAACAACAGTGCCAAAGACTTCCACATTTTCTTAGATGGTGCAGAATTTTGATTCTCATCCATTAATTTGTTATCACAAGTGTCAGTTGGTTAATGACTTTTTTTTTTTTTTTTTATAATTAAGAAAGGAGAGTGTTCAAAAATCACTCCGATAAACCCTCACTAGTAGAATCATGAGACCCTTAATCACACTCGTTACTTCTCTCAAAAATGAACTTAGTTATGTTAGCATAGTAATTAATCATCGAGCTCCAAATATAAACTCTAAGATTCGAACTTGAAGTTTTCTAACTTCAAGGTGAGAAGTTCGACTGAAACCTTATTGGACCATCCCAGTGGGTGATCAGTTGGTTAATGACTGTCATTCATCATACTCAATTTGAATTGGGTGCACAACTTAGACACATTAGTGGAGAGCTTAATTCCAACTCGACTCACCTAATAAATACTCAATTTGAATTCAACCGATTTAATCAAACCCGTATTGTCGGTGCTTAAATTTTTGAACTCAAGAGTACAAATATCAAAGGCTACCATATTGTCTTAACCGATCAGGAATTAATCTCCATCCATTAATTTGTTATCACAAAATGTTTGGTTGGTTGGTTAATGTCCTTCTCAGTTTTATGGTCGAGGATTAAAATTTCGTATTGAAATGGTTAAAATATTCAAACGTTTTCGTTTTCAAAAAAATTTAAACGAATTAGTGATGAAAGCGAAATTCTAATATTTTGAAGCATTCCATAATACTTCAAAATATTTTTGTTATATTTCAATACATTTTCACAATTATTTCGAAATGTTTCAAGGTATTTCAAGATATTTTGATATATTTCGATTAATATTTTATAAAAATATGTTTATTTTTTTATTTTTCATTTTAATCTGAGACAGGTCAAAACATTTTTAAAATTTTGATCATTATTTTAGGTGCGGAGGACTTTTCGAAATTTGCATGTAAATTTTTGTTTTCACTCTGTACGTCAGGAATTGATATTCAGCCAATTCAATGGTACCATGTTTCATTGTGGCACCCACCAAACGTCACAATTTCAGGTGCCAAACCAAGTCAAGCAAAGATGTAGATTGACTTGTTGAAAGACCGTAAAAGAGAAACGAGAAAATGTTATTTTTTTCAGTGTCATATAAATATAAATAGGGTAGGTTACGAAAAAAAGAGATCGAATAGAACCAATCAAGAAAAATTGGTAGCAATCCTAGTAGGCTGTTAATTAAATTGAAGTATTTTAGTTTGGTTCGGATTCGATTCGTTCAGGCTCGGTTCATTTTATAAACGAGTCTAAACTTAAACAAGTTTTTAGATTTGTTTAAAAAATAATTTCTACAAGATCGGCTCAAACTCAACATACTCAATTCGTTTTTGTGTAAATACTCCGGCTCAACTTATTTTTGACTCGTTCAGGCTCGACTCATTTTCAAAACGAGTCAAACTTGAACAATTTATTAAACTCGCTTAAAAAATAAGTTTTTCAAACTCAGCTCAAACTCGACTCGAGTTTGTTCGACTAACAACCCCAAATCCTAGCATGTCATTGAGTTATACATTAACATCTTGGAATTATAACTTGACCCGAGTAAGTTGTAATCAAATTTGGAAGTCAAATATATTTTACATCCTATAACGACATACAATGCCCTAAAAGATTAGAGAATATTGAATACAATGGTAATACCATATCAATATTGATAATATGGTATCGTCAACTAAAATACATTGAAGTATTACATGGATGGATAATTATTGTCATGTGTGGGGTCTACTTTTTTATTTGTCTGCATATTATTAGTTGATAATATCACGTAACAATACTGACATAATATCACCATTACGATGAATATTTTTTCCTCTCTTCTTCTCACTTTGCATTTACCACTTTACCACAATTTTACTCCTCAACTTACTCAGTTTCTATTCTCTTTTTAACCCCCTATGGCTTTCTCTTTCTTCTTTCTTCTTTCTTCTTTCTTCTTTCTTCTTTCTTCTTTAATAGATCAAGTAAACTGACTTATGTGGTTAGAAGGGCTTGGAGGACGCTGTCTATATCGCTCAGGGGATGATGGGTGTAGGGACACAGGAATGAATGGTGTGGTGGAAAAAAAATGCATAAATTTCGTATGTTACACCGGTCTTCGTCAAGAAATTTATATGCAATTTCATATGACATGCCTATTTACATCACATGGAACGTAACAGCTTACGATATATTTACCTTTTAATGTCGCAAGTCTATATAAATATACTTAAAGATTAAATTTTTATTTTGGTGCATTGTTTTGATCACAAACAAATATATTTCAAAAATAGAATGAAAATAGATAAAACAAAAAAAAATAGGAAATTTATTTTAAAAACATTATAAAATATTGCTCAATATATACCGAAACATCTTAAAACAACTTAAAACATTCCTAAATATTGATGGAAATACGTTGAAACACCTCAAACTTGGAAATCTAATACATCTTACATCCCATAACAACATACAATGCCCTAAAAGATCAAAGAATATTGAATATAACGGTGATACCATATCAAAATTGATAATATTAGTTTATAATATCATGTAACAATACTGACGTAATATCACCGTTGCAATAAATATTTTTTCCTGAAGGACCTCTAGATTCTTATTCTCACTTTGCATTAACTACTTTACCACAATTTTGCTCCTCAACTTGGTTTCTATTCTCTTTTTAACCCCTATAGCTTTCTCTTTCTTCTTCTCGACCCCTAAAATAATAGATCAACTAAACTGACTTTCGTGGATAGAAGGGCTTTGAGGACGCTGTCTATATCGCTTAGGGGATGACAGGTGTAGGGACACTGGAATTAATGGTGTGGTGAAAAAAAAAGCATAAATTTCGTGTGTTACACGGGTCTTCGTCAAGAAATTTATATGAAATTTCATATGACGTGCCTATTTAAATCACATGTAACGTAACAACTTACGATATATTTACCTTTTAATGTCGCAAGTCTATATAAATATACTTAAAGATTAAATTTTTATTTTGGTGTATTGTTTTAATCACAAACAAATATATTTTAGAAATAGAATGAAAATATATAAAACAAAAAAATTGAAAATTTATTTTAAAAATATTATAAAATATTGCTCAATATATATCAAAATATCTTAAAACAACTTAAAACATTCCTAAATATTGATTAAAAAATGTAAAAACACCTCAAATTTGGAAATCCAATATATCTTACATCCTATGACAACGTACAATGCCCTATAAGATCAGAGAATATTGAATATAACAATGATTCTATATGGTATCGCCAACTTAAATAAATCGAAGTATTACATGGACGGATAGTTATTGACATGTGTGGTGTCCATTTTCTTATTTGTCTGTATATTATTAATTGATAATATTACCTGATAATGTTGACATAGTATCACTGTTGAAATGAATATTTTTTCCTAAAGGACCTCTAAATTCTTATTCTCACTTTGCATTAACCACTTTACAACAATTTTGATCCTCAACTTACTCGGTGTCTATTCTCTTTTTAACCGCTATAGCTTTCACATTTAACGTAGCAGCTTAGGATGTATTTACCTTTTAATGTCGCAAGTCAATATAAATATACTTAAAGATTAAATTTTTATTTTGGTGCAATGTTTTGATCACAAACAAATATATTTCGAAAATAGAATGAAAACAGACAAAACAAAAAAAAAGGAAATTTATTTTAAAAACATTATAAAATATTACTCAACTACTGATTCCCCCGTGCTTGAAGGAACGGAGTAATAAAAAAAATGTTCAACAATAAACATATTTGTATTCACACTCAAAATCAAATCATAAATATAAAAAAAAAAAAAAAAAAAATTTTAAGCACCAACTGTAGTGAGATTGAGCAGTGGTAATGGTGATGGTTGTGGTGGGTGGCAACGATCATGGTGATAGTGGTGGCAGTCGTGGGGTGGCAACAGTAATGGTGGTGGTGGATTTTTGGTGACAATGGTGGTAGCAGCTGTGGGTAACAGTTGTGGTGAAGGTGGTGGTGGTGGTGGGTGTGGGTGGTGATGAACGACAGTGATAATGATTGACAGTAGTAGTGGTGGACGATGACAATGGTAGTGGACGACAATGTAATGGGTGGTGATAATAATGGTGGTGGTGGCAAGTGTGGTAAGGGTAAGTGACAGTGGGTGGTTGAAGTGGTGGACGATGACAGGTGGTGATGGTGGTTGAAAGTGGTGATGATGGGCGGTGACAATAGTGGTGGTGGACGATGATGCGTGCTTTTAAGTAACAATGTGATGGGTGGTGGTGAAGGGTAGTGGCAAGTGTGGTGAGGGTAGGTGATAGTGGGTGGTTGTAGTGATGGACGATAACGAGTGGTGGTGGTAGGGGTGGGTGACAGTGGCTGATGGCGATGGTGGGCGATGATGGGTGGTGGTTGGTGTTGATGGTGGACAATGGTGACAGTGGAATGATGGTGATAATGGTAATAAATATAAAAATAAGGTGACGATAGTGATGGGTGGTAAGGGTGGATGATGATGGTAGCAATCATGGTGGGTGGCGATGGTGACGGGTGGTGACGGTGGACGACGATGGTAGAAATCGTGGTGATGGTGGTGGCAACGAGATAATGGGTGTGGAGGTGG